ACATATATAATCTAAACCATCAATAGCGATAAATTAGAGTATCGTTTCCTGTAGTTTCGCTAATTTAGGTGAACATTATAATTACAAGCAGACTAAAACGACCGAAAAAGGTAAGATACATATGTACATACTTTTTACATTGATTATGTGTTTTAGTTTATTTTTTTCTCATACATAAAAAGGAAGAGAGTATCGTCTGCCAATAACTTGAGATTTTATTTAGAGAATAGTATAGAAATCGCTGAATATGAATGATTAACTCGTAAGTTCACACTTATAACACATTTGACTAAATACATTTCATAAAATAGCTATTTTTTATCTTAGGCAATTCCCTTTTTGTTGAAATAATAAAACGTTTAACGGCCGAGAACTAGTTGATAAAAGGAAGGTATGATTTTTATCTTATTCTTACACCATTTTCATTGTCTCACGATTTTCAAATAATATGCAAAATATAAAAACTTCTATTGTTGTTTTACAGATAATATTCACGTCTTAATAATGTTCAAATTCATGGAGTTTTAAAGCCTGACAGATGTAATAAAGATATTGGTAGGCCAACTATTACGGACTCTCAAATGTCCATTAAAAGTTCCTGGAAGAAGACATTGTGGTGGATTTAGGTATCTGGTCAATAGCCCGCATTAGAGTCTGGACTATAGTCTGGTCTATAGTATAGTCTGTATAATATATTCTATTGTTTTAAATAGGGTCTGCACTATAGTGTGAACTGTAGTATGGTCTAGAGTCTGCCCTATATTTTGGTATACGATCTGGTTTCTAATTTGGTCTATAAACCGGCGTACAGTCTGGTTTATAGTCTCTTCTATAGCTTGGTCTATAGTCAAGTCTGGAATATAGTCTGATCCATAGTATAGTCTGTTTTGTAGTATAGTCTGAGTATGGTCTAGTCTATTATCAGGACGATATTCTAGAATATAGTCTAGTCAATAGTCTGGTCTATAGTTTGTTCGATAGTATGGTCAATAGACTAACTTTTTTTTACTTTTAATTAAACAAAATTTATTTATATTAAAATTAAAATGTATTTATATTATTTACATATAAGGTTTTCAATTTTAATTATAATATAAAATGTATAAACTTTTGGTTATAACCAATATAATATATAACCAAATATATTTATACATTTTAATGCACATAACATCTTTTAATTTAAATGAAATGTATGAATATAGTAATTCTAAGAAATTTTAATTGACCAGTTATATGTAGTATGTACATATTTACACTATTACCGTTATAATTTTAATTTTCAATTTAGTATTAATCTATTTTAACTTATATGTAACTAATTAAAAAAATCTTCAATAAAAATAACTGAAAAAATCTTCAGTAAAAATAACTGAAAAAACTGTAGTTTTTAATAATTTTGTAGGTAAAAATGGCCGGTTTTTAATGTTTTTTTAGGTAAAAAATTGTTAGTAATTATTACTGAAAAAAACACTTGTTTTAAATATTTTTGTGGATAAAATTTTGTCAGTTAAAATTACTGAAAAAACATTATTTTCTAATGTTTTATACTTTATTCTAATGTTTTATACGTAATTCCTAAGAATCTTCCAATCAGTGTTAGTCAGGAATGTTATATCCGGAATAACATCACTTCCAAGATATTTGGATCTCACTTCGACGAATGCCTGGCAGTGGCAAAGAAAGTGCTCCAGAGTTTCACTGCCCTCTCCACATGCTCTACATTCGTCTGAATCCGCACGTCCAATTTTGCATAGATGTGCTCGTAATCCTGTGTGTCCTCTCAGAATACGTACCATCATACTAACTTCAGACTTGCTCATTTCGAGGAGATTTTTCGTCTTGCTCTCATCAGGGTCACCCCATAGGATCTTCGTGGTTCTACCCACTGTTTCATTATTCCAAGAGGCCTTATGGGATTCTCTCACCCATATTTTTAGTTCAGCTTTTGTTGCGTCTAATAGTTTCGCGTTTGTCAGGTTAACTGCCTCGAGCTCCCTACCCTTTAAAGCTATTACATTCGCCCTTTCGTTACCAACTACTCCCGAGTGGGCTGGTACCCATATGATGTGAACCTTACCTCTGGGAGAGTATTGAGTTAAAGCTTTCTTACAATCCAATACGGTCTTAGATTTAGTTCTATCGCCTGATATCGCCCTAATTGCCTTCTGGCTGTCGGTAAATATATTAAGCGCTGTGGGCGCCATATTTATTCTAATCCAATTTACGCATTCCGTTATTGCTCGTACTTCTGCCTGAAAGCTTGTGTTATGATTAGGTAAACGGTGGTATATTTCTGTTTCTGGGTCTTCAATATAGAACACCAGGCCCACTTTGTCCTCTAATTTAGAGCCATCTGTGTAGCAACGGATTCCTACTGGTATTTGCTCTAATATTCCGCTTGACCAAGACATTCTATCTGGGATCAGCGTTTCAAAGTTTCCGACATATTCTGTGTCTGGTATACGATCAGGCACGTCCGCTTTTGGCCAGTTCGCCTAAAGTACAAAGCCGTTCGGCTGTAAGCGCCGCCTCATATCTTAAATATGTTTCAATGGGTGGAATATCTAGCAACGTTTCCACAGCTTTGGTTGAAGTAGTACACATGGCACCACTTATACCCAAGCAGCTTGTACGCCGAACTCCCTGTAGTAGTTTGATATTGCACTTTTTGTCTAAAGCAGTCCACCAGATTATTGAAGCATAACCCAGAGTAAAGGTGACAAAATGCCACCCTGTGGTATACCGCGAAATACCTTTTTCCTGATAGTTATATCGTATATCTCGCAACTTATCCATCTGTTCCTTAGCATGTGGTTGATCCAGTTACGGAGCACCCGGTCAACATAAAACTGGTCTAGGAATTGGATAAGAGTATCAGTGTGCACGTTATTGAAGGCGCCTTCGATGTCAATGCATACCGGCAGTGTATACAGTTTGCTATCAAAGGTTGCACCTATGTAGTGGACAACTTCGTTTAAAGCGGTTTCCACCGATCGTCCCTTTACATAAGAATGCTGCTTACATTTTAGGTCTTTGTCGGGTATACTGCTTTTAACCATACTATCGACTATCCGTTCCAAGGTTTTAAGTAGGAATAACGTAAGACTTATCAGTCGATAAGTCTTAGATGTCGAATAGCTAGGTTTCCCTGCATCCTGCCATTTAATGGGGGTATATGTGAATTTCAAGCATGCAGTAAATATCTGAGACAGATGTACGGAAACCAGTCCCGCCTCCATCTGTAAGAGTGCCGGGAAAATGACATACGGCCCTGCAGCTTTATAGGGAGCGAAGCTCTTGATTGCCCCTTTAACCATATCTGATGTAATTACAATTTCCGTGTTAGCCTCCCCTTTCCTGTGTCCTGACATAAACGGTTCTTTAGTAAGAAACCGAACATTGTCCAATTAGTTTTAGATTTATTCCGAAACTTTATCGGCTTTGGTGGCGACCGTAGTATTTTGAATCTTATGTACCGATGGTCAGAAGAGGAGTGCTCGTCCGAAACTCTCCAATCCTGAATTTCGTTTATAAGCTCTTCTGAACATATAGTTATATCTAATACTTCTTCTCTGATTCTATTGACGAAGGTAGCTTTATTACCTAAGTTCGATGTGATCAAGTCTTTATTATTAAGGAAATCCATAAGGGCTTGTCCCCTGCGATTGGTGTTTGCACTACCCCAAGCTTCATGGTGGGAGTTGGCATCACAACCTATTACAATTTTCTTATTTTTCCTTTGTGCCTCTTCGACCAGTTTCATCAGCTCCGACGTTGGTGGTAGTGTCGGAGAATCGAAAGGAGAATGTCGGAGAATGCAAGGTATATGTTGCCTCGTCCTTGCTTCAGCACCGTTGCATCCGATGTGGATAATTCTGTTGAGAGGAGAAAACATAAGTTCTTGTGACATAAGATACATGTTCTCGGTCGAGACCCTGTATCAGAGTAGAAAAGTTTGAAATTTACGTTATTTAATTCAGAAACCTTGTTGCGAATCGTCCAAGGTTCTTGGATTAAAGCTATATGTATCTTACCTGTGTTAATTTGAGCCATCAGACCGTTGGTAGCTGTCTCGCTCCGATGGAGGTTTATTTGGATAACCTTAATCATTGTCATCCATTTAAACTGTCTTTCAGCGAGTTAGTGAACACATCCCCTCTCGTTGGATTTGACTCCTCCGGGTAACCTGAAGTGGCTGTTGATGCAGTGGGTACCATTGATGGCACCGCGGTGTCCTTATCAGGTATGGTAAGAGCAGTCTTTTTAATCGACACTTTCCCAATTTTGGACAGCACTGCTGTTCTGTCTTCTGGCGAGTGAGTGATTTCCTCCTCGCTTTTAGGATTTGACTCCTCAAAATTACCAGTACTTGCTTCTTATCGGAGCCGGTTTTGACATCCCTTTCAATCGGCGCCTCCCCAATTTTGATAAGGGCAGCTGCACCTTCTTTTGGCGAGTTAGTGGAATCTTCCTCGCTTTTAGGATTTGACTCCTTATCGGTATCAGTAGTTGCTACTGATGCTGTGGTCTTAAGTATTTTAGTGTCCTTTTTGAGGCTTGTTGTAACAGACCTTCCAATCGGCACCTTCCCAATTTTGAATATGACAGAAATCAAACGTGTCGAGAACTGCCCTTATGGTGTTAAAATCAGTGTTGCCAAAAACGGCGGTTTTCCCGCTATATCTGGAGGTTTTTGATCATCGATTGCGGCAACATTTCAATAAAATCCGCTAAGTGTTTTTTTTTAACTGGAAAATATTTTTATTTTGCTAGTTTTAGAGTTTTTTGGCCAATTATTTGTTTAAGTGTTTGTAACATGTTTCAGATGTTTGGAAGAAGAATTTGTTTAACAAAAGTGAAAACATTAGTGCAAAAAAGAAAAATACATTAAAAAACCCAAACATTGAAATATACAGAAGTTGAATATTGTTTTTATAAAAAATACTTTGTTGGTAAGAAAAAATATAAATATATTTGCAATAAGCGTTTTGTTGACAACTATGCAAGAAAAGGAAAGTTGGTTTACCCCAACTTATAGTAAAAAATTTAGAAAAGAGTGGAAGACAAATCCCCAATTGAGGGATTGGATTAGTGAATCTGACAATGCATCAAAGGCTTTTTGTCGCTATTGCAATTGTAATTTGCAATGTAAATTCTCAGATTTAATTGCTCATGCATCTACAAATAAGCATAAGACAGCTAAAGGTGGCTTTGTACAACAAAATAAAATTCCCTTTCAATCATCAAACCATAAAGTCCAAATGAATGAAGCTGCATTGTCAAAGTATTTTTGTCAACACGGACCTATAGCTCCTGTAGATCATTTGACGTCGCTTTTAAAGAAACAGTTTGACGATTCTACGAACTGTCAACAAATTCGATTACATATAACCAAGTGTTCCAAAATTGTTAAAAATGTTTTGTCAATACACTTTAAGGAAGACTTACAGAAAGATATTGGTGACTCACATTTTATTCTCCTTTTTGATGAATCGACTGATATTGAAATAGTTAAATAACTTGGTAAGTTTATTGCTGAATTCTTAGGAAAGGCTTTATTTTATATAATTCATATGGGAGGTTCCAATTTGCAAGTCCGCCAATATATTACCCAAATGTTCACATTGACTTCAAAGGATTTTTGCTCTAATAGTTCCCCAGATTTTTTGTACTTATTTCATATGGGATGTTCCAACCCCCCTAATTGAGGAACAACCCCCCCCCCCCCCCCCATTGGTAGTCCGCCAATTTATTACACAAAATGTTTACATGGATGCTAAAGTTCTTCGTGCAAAATTTGAAGGTTCTAACTCTAATAGTTTCCCAGTTAAGCAAATTTTTGTATTTAATTCATATGGGGGGTGCCACGCCTCCTACTGCTAGTACGCCCCTTTTTCCTTAAATAATCATTTTGATCCTAAAGTGGGTCCTACAAAATTTGAGGACTCTATCTGTTATATTTTCTCAGATATACTGAATTAAGATGTTCTTCATATGGAAGGTGCCACGCCCACTATAGCCATTCCGCCCATTTTATCCAAAAATATTCTTATGGATGTCAAAGTTGTCCATACAAAATTTGAGGACTCCAACTCTTGCAGTTTCTGAGATATGCGACTTTTAATACTTATTTTGAATGTGGGCGTGGCCACTTGAAATTTTGAAGTAAAAAGTAGCCTATAGTTCCTTCCAGACATACAGGAAGACACTGTGATTTCATAAAAATCCGTCCAGCCGTTTAGCTGTCTATAAAGTCCAAACAAACATACAAACACAGATTCATTTTTATATATATAGATTATATATAGATTTTGCTTTGCAAGTTCTTTGTATGCCGTGGTCCAAAGCGGAATTAAGAAATCGTTTACAACCTGAAATGGTTAATTCAATTTTGACAGTAAAGTAAGAACATAATATAATTCCTTTTGAATATGTTTTCATCATAATTTGTTTCAGATATGGACTTCGTCGCCATGAAAAATACTGTTTTGATTACGAAGTGCCTAAAAAGTTTTTAAATTTAATTGGATCCAGTGAAATGTATTCTTGTTCTCAAAACGATGATTTTGAATGGATAGGCGTTTTTCAAAACTCAATCTGGTGGGATGGGACCTAAAAGTTTTGGCGACTCTGACTCCAACAAACAATTAACAAACCAATCTCTTTCATCGTCACAAGAATATGATTTTATTGTTATACACCTCTGAGTATTTTGACAATTATTACATCGTTCATCGGCATGATCGTTGCTTAACAGATTCATAGAAGGAAAGGGGTAGTGGAGTTCATATTGGAGCTGACTTTAAATCAGAATACATTTCTCTTAATAATACCCATATTATTGAACAACTTTGTATAAAGGTAACATTTGCGAACAATAACATAATTTTTATTATTGTATCTTACATTCCACCTAACAGTGATGAACAAATTTATAGATACCATTTAGATAATATTCAAAACTTAAATGATAATTTAGAATTAAATAATCATATTTTTGTGTTTGAGATTTTAATTTAAAGAATATTTCTTGGAAGTTAGAATATAATATTTTATTACCTTATAATATTTTAAATGATATAATGACAATTTAATTGTTTTAAGAATGATATTGGAAGAACTTTAGATTTAATTTTTGCTACTTATTAGTTAAAAACATCATGTAACTTGTCTCCGAATCCGGTTTCTCCTAATACTGTGCATCGCAAAGCACTTGTTTTTAACTTTGAGTTTTTTACTTATGATAAAGAAACCGTATGTCCGTTTCAAAAACATAATTTTAATAAGCAAATTTTTTTTGGGTTAATTGAATATTTCAAGAATGTAGTTGGTCTTTAATATATAATTCCGATGATCCAAATACTCTTTATTCCACTATTTGCAACCATTTTGATACTGCTATTGAAAACAATGTGCCCAAATTTCAATCCAAGATAAATAATAAACCTATTTGGTTCAATTTAAGGCTATGTCACATGAAAAATATAAGGAATAATTCTTTTAAAAAATTTAAAAAATCTGGTAATGATATCGACCGTAGAAATTATGTGTTAGAAAGAAACGAATTTTTTGCAAAATTTTCTTTATAAACATTACATTTCTGAAATGAAAAATAGAATAAAATATGATTCTTCTGCTTTTTGCCATTTTATTAACTGTAAAAAAGACAGATAATAACAGTATGAAAGTTCATCTTCTAATGGTAACCAGGAATCTTGCGAATTATTTACGGATTACTTTCAAAGCACTTTTAATCAGCACAATTGTAATAATTTTGACATTGATGGTCAATTTTGTAACACTAATTTAATCCACGATTTTGATTTTAGTATAACTGATTTAGTTGAAGCTATAAATTCATTAAGTAATGATACTATAGATGCAGTTGGAAATTATCCTCCTATATTTATACCCTACACCACTTTAGTGAGTTAAATTTAAAAAATACAATTTTAGGGATTTTTGCTTAAGTTTTTGGTAATTGTGGGATTTCCTTTGACGTTTTGATTTTTTTTTACACTTTCCCAGCAGTTCGACAAAGAGTCAATGCATACGTAAACGACAGTCATTTACTCCAATGTGTAACCACATGGTTGACCCTAATTTCTATATATTGGGTTATTCGTCACCAACGTACTCTTCGTAAACGAGAGGGAAAATAGTCGTCACCTTACTGCACCCTAGGTAAACGAGTGAAGGGACATTTAAAAATTGTTTTTTTTTCATTGTACTTCAGAATGTAGATATTTTACACATCTATTGGAGACACAATTGTTATTTTCCACTAAAATCTAACCAGCTGGTCGTACCCTATTTGCATGTTTTTGGTCATTCATCACGAATGTACTCTTCGTAATCGAGAGCGAAGACAGTCGCCACTTTACTGTACACCAGGTTAGGTTAGGTTGAATATATTATTTTTCCATGTTCAGAAACTCAGTTTCCTGGACGTAATTCCTAAGAATCTTCTCCAGATGCTCTACATTCGTCTGAATCCGCACGTCCAATTTTGTATAGATGTGCACGTAATCCTGTGTGTCCACTCAGAATACGTACCATCATACTAACCTCAGACTTGCTCATTTTGAGGAGATTTCTCGTCTTGCTCTCATCAGGGTCACCCCATAGAATCTTTGTGGTTCTACCCACCGTTTTATTATTCCAAGAATCCGTATGGGATTCTCTCATCCATATTTTTAATTCAGCTTTTGTTGCGTCGAATGGTTTTGCGTTTGTCAGGTTAACTACATCGAGCTCCCTTCCCTTTAAAGCTATTACATTCTCCTTTTCGTTTCCGACTACTCCCGAGTGGGCTGGTACCCATATGATGTGAACCTTACCTCTGGGAGAGTATTGAGTTAAAGCTTTCTTACAATCCAATACGGTCTTAGATTTAATTCTATCACCTGAAATCGCACTAATTGCCTTCTGGCTGTCGTTAAATATATTAAGCTTGGATAGGAATTTTTTATCTTCGATACGTCATTTACGCTATCTACCTGTTCACAGAAAAGTTTCCAGGTGTCTCGTTTGGCTTTTCGAACGATTTTCTTATATTCACCAAGTTTATTACGATACTCATCCCAGTATACTGCGTAATACTGTAAATATATTAAGCCCTGTGGGCGCCATATTTATTCTAACCCAATTTACACATTCCGTTATTGCTCGTACTTCTGCCTGGAAGCTTGTGTTATGATTAGGTAAACGGTGGTATATTTCTGTTTCTGGGTCTTCAATATAGAACCCCAGGCCCACTTTGTCCCTGTAATGGTACGGTGTGGTTGGCTGTGTTGACTACCGCGTCAAAATGACCATAACCTTTAGCACGTGCTTGCTTTAGGGTCTAGCTCGTCGGATGGGGAGGGGGTCTTGCTAGGTCACTTTGAAACCTCACTTACAAAATTTATTTCATATTTCCCTTGGCCCTTTCCCTACCTTGTTACCACTATTCCTAATAAAATCTATCGGTAACCCAAATACAACACAGAGATGGTTTGGTTACATTAAGTTATATAAATTCTTTATTCCCAATTCATTTGAATTTATACATCATTTCATTTAAAAAGAAATTTACATTAGTCATATAAAACAAATAATTTTTCTTTTTAACTATTCATATAATTTCGGTTATTAATCTTATACAACTAATATAAAACATTTCCTACTAATTCCTAGCAAATTTTCATGAGGGTATCGACAGGCCTGTGATATAATATTTAAGAGTATTACTTGTCTCAAAGCTTTAAGAGAAAGTCTAAGTATTTACAACAAAAATCTTAAATTTAAAAAGTTATATATATATATATATATATATATATATATATATATATATATATATATATATATATATATATATATATATATATATATATATATATATATATATATATATATATATAAAGTTATATTAGTTAAGTTTCATTCATATTTCATTCATGTTTACATACTATAAAGAGAACAAAAAAAAATGAAAGTTCTACTCTTGAAAGATGTTGATCTAATTAGATCAATGAAGCAAAGATAAGGAAACGAATGAATCAAGATATGAATGAAAATTAATCTTGTAATGTTTTACTACAACGTATTTTTTTTCTTCTTTCGTTTTAAACTAAAGGAAAAATGTCAGTAATTTACAAAATTTTGGAATGTATATGAAAATTTAATGGATAATTTGAAATTATTATATATATTTATTTTTCTTTTATGTACGCAAATGTTATGTTCTTTTATTCATTATGTTTTTTTTTTCTTTTTCTTTTTGTTTTAATTATATGTATATTGTATTACGTTAAATCATTAAATTTTATTATTTTAGTTTTCTTTTTTTTTTATATATAGTTTAACATTACTATTTTTATAGCTAGTTACACTATAGTTTTCTAATTCACAAAAAATTTTTTTTTTTTTTATTTATGAAATTTTTAAGAATACTATTTAATTTTTTTTTTTACTATTTAAAACTTATTTGTAAAGATTTAAATATATTCTTCTTGGAATTGGGAGCTTTTGTTCAAAT